CTGCGTACCGTGCAAGTGGCAAAATTCGCTGTGTGAGAACTGCTTCCACAGGGGCAGCAAGATGGTTTGTCTACTGGTAATTGCCAGAAGTATTCTACTTTTGCCACCTCAGCCTAGTTGGTCGAGCAGATTTATCACGATTGCGGTGAGATCTCTGTTTTCACTCCGTTTCACTCGCAAAATTGATTCCGCGTTCATGTGCAAGCTCCATTTTGTAGCGTTGCCTCACGTATACGATAACCAGCAATTCTATAGATCAGTTGCCGAGTGAGCACATAACCTTCTGTCTTTTTCTGGGGAATAAACAAGTACTCATACTGCACAACTCAGCCGGGCAACAAAATCCTTCAGGCGTTAACTTGTTTCCTGAAGCATTCGCGAGAAAACATACCTTGTAGTAAACATTCCTTTGGTAACCCCAGGTAAGATCCAAAGCATTTGAAGCGTCTGATGGAAATGCACCCTTAGATGCCAAAATAATCGAACTGCCGTTGCCCCTCATCCCCGAGTAATTGTCGAAGCAACTTTAATCTGTTTTCTTCGCTACGAGCACAATGGAGGTCACTGCTTAACTCTAAGTAGTTTTAGAGGGATGTTTCCCAATGGAGCTAAGCACCTGATGTTTGTCTGCTACCGCAATCGGTCCAAACTGCAGCTAGGGTTGTATGTTAAGTTTAATGTTTTGGTCCGCGAAGTTTTATCAGGAAGTCGCGAAAGGAAAGTACGTATGTACGTACTCAGCCGATAATAACACGTAACACAGAGCTTACCGGTCGGTAACTTCGGCATTTAGCACAACCAGTGGGGTGAGTCCGCGTGATCCAACGGCAATGAAACTATGTGTAGTACATTGGACTTAGTCGGCCACATTAGTAGCTGCTCTTAACTGCCCAGCAGGTTGTTCCATCAGATATGAGTCATGTTTCGCTGCGATTTATATTTTTCTCTTAAGTAAAAATATCTTATATATATCTTATCTTATATCTTAACTAACATATCTTAAGTAACAATAGCAATAAAATAAATGATCTGTTTTCGACGGTGTGAGACACGCCATCAAAGCATGATCATAGTAATACAAACGCGTAACATCAGTTGTGGTACAGAAGCGTTACAAGTTCACCAGTGCATACTGAATGTATGCTTGTATGTATGTGTAGTATGTATGTGGGTGCATGTGTAAGTCATCTTGTTGGGTGAATTTGTTACTCGTACTGTGAGTTTGTTCGGTGAGTTAGCCAACATAGGAAGGGATCAGCTGAAATTTTTGTCATGACTGGCGTTCGAGAAGCGGGTAAGATCCTCCGGTATGGCAAGGCAGTGGCTTCATTTAGTGGCTAATCATATCCGCCACGTCACAGTGTTGTTAAGCAGACATTTGTGGCTTTTTATAGGAAGAACGCTTGCTAGGCGAAAACCCACCACGTCCTGGAACACTGCCGCCGAACTATTAGCTGGACGGGGATTAACCCGCACCGCCCAGCTTGCGTCACGTGGAGGTTGTTTGTCCAGCCAGCCATATATTCGAAGTGCGAGATCATTATCTTTTTTCGCTTCTTTGTCCTAATTAGGATCGTTGTTTTGGCGCCTGTTTCCGCCACATGCCACGCAGCTCCTTGATCGTGTCTGTCAAGAGCACGGCTTCTGATCTCGAACTTGATTTATCGCTGCGTGCTCTTTCAAATGCGCGAAACATTTTTGGTGTTTTATCTCATCTTCGTGTCCATCTGGTCATTGGCAAGCTCTGACAAATTTTCGCCAACTCAGTGCACCGAAGTATACGACTGGAACGGCTTCTATTGTAGCCGGTCAATGCTCGTTGGACGACATCTTCAATTGCAAAAATGAAGAGGAAACGTGAAGTAGGGCAATCTTGGTGACAGCAAACGGAGAGGAAAGCCTGCTGTAAGTCCTGACTTTGCCCGACGTCGGCAAGGAATGACCAGGTTGTGGCGGTGACATTCCCGGCTAATCGATTGTAGAGTGTGATGGTTTGCGCCATCTCATAGTTCTCATTCCAATATTCCGCATTGCAGGCGACCTTTAACTAATGACTGCATGATCACTGCGATCTAACGGGCAGTCTGCAACCAACACATCAACCATATGTTCTTTGTTGGTAAGCACAAGCTCCAGCACAGATGGTTTGTTATCTGTTTTGAACTAATTGGGTAAGGTGACGTGGTTGCAAAGCCGAACACTGGTTACAGGCTCCTGCAGATTGGCTTGCTTTGTTCTCCGATCGTGGCAGGGGTTCCTAAGCAATTTACTTTAAAATCACCCGTTATATGTATGCGTTTGTATGTTAGAGCAGTCGCAAGCTGTCAGTCCGTTTCGAGTGTAGAGTTAACTGCAGGCTGCACCAAAGATAATCGGTGAATTTCGAATTTGAATCCTCCATGGCATCGCATTGGGAATCGCTTCTATAATAATGAATTACCCCTCCATCTTTTGTGTCTCTATTGTTCCGGATGAGCGACGTGCCCGGTTTCGAAACTTCAGCGTCCGTCAGTCCAACATGTAACCACGTCTCAGTGATGCTCATAATAGCCTGGAAACTTGACGATCTTTCAGTTCAGCCAGCTTATTAAAAAGGCCTAGAGCTTTTGTATACAAGCATACTAGTTTTTTTGCTCTTTAGGCGTCCACAGAGGGTCAAAGGAGTCAGGTGTGGGAGAATACCGACCGGTGCGAAGTCGTCGACTCCTTTTTCATGGGATACTAATACCACCACTGTAACTTGATTTGACCAAGGCGCGTCCCAGTCGTCGTCTAGACCTGTGTCAGAATCCAGTAAAGGGGCACTCAGATGATTTTATCTGAACTTTGCGAAGCTTCTGCAGCCTTTAACCGAAGTTCAGGTGGAACTATTTTCCGTTGCTGTTTACTCTAATAGAACCATGTTGTAGTGCAGTTGCAAAGGGTAAAATCTTTTCTACCTCGGTGCAGGATTCTACAGTTACTCTAATAAGTCTGGCTTCACCATAGTGTGCAGAGTTCGGGTGACGAGTAACTCGTATTATATTTGTGGGTTTGGCTTTGCGGTTCATCAGAACGCATAATGAGTTTATTGGTCTTCCTCGTCAGACAACTTACCACGCAATATGCTGACGGGGACATTTGAGCACAAAACAGTCAGGACGTTATTGTTTGATCTCTTTTGTTGAGCTGCAGGGTCGGGTGATCGTTGATCTTGGCTTTCTGCCAAGTGATAATGATCTACTTTTTGTATCTCTGTTCGCGTTAGCGGTGTTTGTATCCAAAGAGACCGTAAGGGTGGTCTCTCGGCGGACATTTGCAACAATCTCTGTATAAGTGACTGATCTCCCGGGGGGCTTTGGCTTGAAAAGAGACCTTTAAGCTGCAGACGCAGTGGGCTGGTGCTTCGCCACTTAATTCTTGTTAATGACCGACCTTGGCGAGACTAGTGACACTTGATTACCCACTCTTTTAGACTGGTTTCTGATTTTCGCCTGACGCTGCACCATGGTTGTTTGAGAATGCCACGATGGTACCTTTCCGATCGTGGTTTGTGTGAAGCAAACTGTGCGCAATTCCTCCGTATAGAGACCAGTGCTCTTCCATGGCGCGTACTCTCTTCCAAAGTAATCTTAATCTTCATCCGCTGGTTCATGTTGCTAACCGGTTGTGCTTCTGGACTATTGATGGCAGCACAAATCTGACGAACATCCGGGGAGCTAGTCCACTTCCCCTCCTGTTGTTGGGGTAAGTTAGCACATTGGATGATACCATCTAGAACAACGTGAGTAGCTTATCTCTACTCGGTTACATCTTCCTGACCTGCAAACATCCTTCGTCTGGAGCTCTTTTGGATTCGCATTTGATTTCTGTCATTCAACCTGGTATCGTTACTTGGCCCATTGTGTTAGTTGGCATATCGGTCAAAAAAGTATTCAAGTTAGTGGTCCGTGTAACGGCTTTGTCCATATCGTCGCTTGTTTTTCCTCGTCTTTTACTGAAGTTCCTCCTGTTTCATGCTCTGTTGATAATCCACCCATTTATGCATATCGGGCAACGAAAATCAACCTCCGTACCATGCTGTTGGTTCACCGACCACCTTTGCTTTCACTGATTTTATTTCCAACTTTCCACTTTTTCAGCTCTTTTCTACTTTCAGCAAACACCCACACCGTGTATTACACGGTTTCCCTCTGTTTTTGTGTTGTTTTGGTGACGTGCCAATCCGTCGCTATTCAACCCGAGTTGAACATGCTGACTGGGTACGGAGAATCTGCACAGTGGGTGTGCCATAGTCTGAATGGGAAAATATTCGTTATTTCCAGCTCACTGTTACTACTCGACTGGATTTCCTCCCTCAACGGATGGGGCCAAATAGTGGTTTGATTGAAGCCACCTATCCATCTATGGCCCACTTCGCAAGGGACTACGGCCTTGTCTAGTTGGCTTAGGTGGACTGCCCTTGTTTCTGTCTCTTGTGACGTGCGTCGCAGTATGCACCACTGCAATTGCCTTTATTTGTTCTCAACTAAATAGGCAACTGGCATGTTCCACTTCATGACGTGTGGTCTGTTGGAGTGGTGTCTGTAGTTCAGTATAGCCTTCACGCAGTGTGTGGTTGTGGACACTTTGTGTTGGTGGTGTTCACTTATTGCTCTCATTTAGTTTAATATGTGCTCACGGGAACATGCAAATATGCCAGCGATTTATTGGTCCCTTTTTAATCCTTGTACGCAAATAACCCGTTGTTTTTTTCCCGGGCGCAGTGTGACCGATCCATCCAGTCCACGTGATCGTGTGGGAAGCAGCTTATCAATTGTCTCTCCTCCGCTATCACCACATTTTGGAGTCATTACACAAATCGCTGTGACGCAGTCCCCTGCATTTTAGCAGAAAGCAAGACGCTCCCTTGGTTGTCCTTTAGTCCATCCATGGGGTTATACTGCTATTTGTCTCACTTGAGCGCTTGCCAATTTCCGGTCTTCTAACTACATACTCCTGGTGTTTTACTTTTTCCACAGTGGTCGAATGCGCTGCTGATTTCAAACCTAACCAAGTCGTGCCCATTATCGTCGGCATCGCTCTGGCTCTGATGATCGTCATCGCTATCGTCACCTTCCTCGTGGCGACCCGCAGACGGCGGGGCCGTTATCAAGAAATCTAACCCCTTCCCGACCAATTATCGATCCTCATTTCATTCAATTAGTCCCTGTCATTATGCACATTATTTGCACCCGCATAGCTTCTAAAGTACGCGCGGAAAACAAACAGTGCCATTTGTGTTCCACTGTTCGGTGGGACTACCTTTTTTTACAACTTTGTAGAGCATTCGATTCGTTACACAGCAACTTCCGTTGGTTCATCGCTGACATTGATTTGTGCCTGCCATGTTTTCCACATAATTGTCTATTTTTCTCGGCATTATTTGTTTTGTGTAATGCCTTGTTTTATAAGAGTTCGTCTAATCACGTTGCTCACGCAGTATACTACACAGAATTATGTCGGTAATGCCCGGACCTGTGGATCACATAATTGTCTTCTTTTGTTGCGATGGCTATCCTCTACATCCGAATTTGATCCTTCGTTATTGTCTATCGTTTTCGTTCGCGTCTCTCCCGTACCTCTTCTCGTGGCACTAAATTCGGTGGCCATTTTAACTAATACCCGAAAGTCTCGCCTACCTAACATAGGAACTATTTCAATAATTTTTCTCATAGATTAAGCTTGCGTTCCGTGGGAAAAACTTACTACACCCGCACGTTTCCTCGATTATGTGTGATAATGTTTAGATAACTGCTGTACCAAATGTGATTCTCAGCTACAGCTTATTCCTTTTAGTTTACTAGCACTTACCATTCGTTACCATCATTAGTGCGTCCACTCGCTTTCGCCGGTCTGTGTAAACACGCACACATGTGCAGTTGAACGTGCACTCGTTATACCACCTTGGTGAGCTGTGGTGGTAGACAGTCACTGTGTACGGCTCGCCATGCAAGGCGTTCGGTCACCTAAAGTCTACCGGAATGCGTGACACAGCAGAGTGCGGGATAAACTAAGAAAACATCCTGGCTGTGTCGGATTTTATCATGTGTTATACACACCGCCTTTTTGTATTGTAGCTTCGAGCCGTTCCACATTTTGAGACAACCCAATGTTCTACCGCATTCCACACTGGCACAGTGGTTTCAGTTACTGTGTTGACGGCGCACTCTGAACTCAGCTGACAACGAACTGGCTGTCTTTGAATCAGTCCTGTCGCAACGGCACACTTTTGACCTGCATGATCTTCCATGTTATCTTTTCATGGTTTCTGCACTTCACACTGACTGTGACCGTGTACTGAACTGACTTTCGTCAATAGGCGGCATTGAGTAATATGCTTTTCTCGTAGTATTTCATACAACTTCACGCAGAGGATCGGCACTCCTTCCTTCGTCTTGACCGCATATGATGGTGAAATTGGCAATTAGGCTCCTGGCTCTCAAATATATGGGACAAAGTTCTATTTTTGTACCCATCCTCGATTGTTGTAGTTACTTGGTTGTACTTGCTTCGCCAAGACAGACGTTGATATATTGTTAGAAATTCAGCTTTCTTAGTTACTGACAGTGTTGAACAATCACTTTATTCGTTGTGCCGACGCCGATCTGTTTGCGTACGAGAAAGTTTCACAGGTGTTCAAGAGAATCACACGTTCATGCCACCACGTTGAGCTTGGTACTGAAGATCCAGAGTACCTTACTAGGTAATTGCTTGCGACCAAAAAACGAGTACTTCAATAATTTAATCAACAGACTTCCATAATGCTCACCGGATCTTTGGACTGCTTGCCGGAGATCCGCTTTTCCATCATCCCCACTGTGGTTCAAAGTTTCTAGTGGTCGCCTGGCTTCATTACAAATCACACGCCCCAACAAAGCCAAATGTTATGGCATTGGATATGCATCCAACTGGGTCATGGTCACAAAATCCACCCACTTCATTTTCCACATTCTCCAGTTTTATGGCAGCAACCTTTCTGTCATCCGCAATATAGCTGCAGATAGAATCATCGGTTGTCATTCTTGAACCAAATGATCATTTGCACCGCACAAGAATTTGCGTCTCATTTCCTTACCTTGTCTTTGATGTCCGTCTTACGCTGCCCGGCTTTGTTTTGTGACCCGCGTTCACGGTTTGCTCACTACTACCCGATCCAGTCCACATCTTCCGGATGCCTGGACCCCCAGATTCACGGGTTTGCGCAAAACGAGTAAGCGTAGCTTTTCGGCGGTTCTGCCTCGGGATCTTACGGCAAGGTCCTGATCTCGTCGGTAGGTACCAGATGTTGTGGGTCTCGACGCAGTAGTGGTGTTCAGCACAAGTATTCAGCGGGTTGACTGTGGGAACGTGGATACCTGGAACACGAGAGTGGTGTAGGTAAATTCGGCAAAGTTGCATAGAAACAAAATGATAGAAGCACCGCATGTTAGCTTGGCAAATGGCCAGATCTTAGCAACGTGGAAGACCAGCGAGGTAAGAGCCAAGCGTCTAGGCGCTGTTTGAAGGCCTCCGTATTGGGCGCTGAGACAACAACTTCAGGGAGGGCGTTCCAAGCGAAGGCAATACGCACACTGAAACTGTTTCTTCGGCACAGAAGGCGACTGCTACGAGTCATCAGTTTGAGTGAGTGCCCTCGAAGATGATCTGTACGGGCGCGGACCAGCAATCCTGCGTTTGTGTGCCTGTTATTAGTCAGGACGGAATAAGCTAAGATAAGGTCGCCACGAAGCCTGCGATATTTCAACGGGAAGAGGTTAAGGGCCGCCAGACGCTCCTCATACGAGAAGTGGGATAGTCCGTCCACTCTCTTAGTGGCTCTGCGCTGTACAGTTTCCAGCATGGCCTCGTCCTTCTTCAGGTACGGCGGCTGGACAAGTATGTTGTACTCCAGCAGCGGACGTACTGAAGTGCTATAGAGACGGACAAATGTCTCTCTAGGGAAAGACCCTAGTGCACGTCCAAGGAGGGCCAGGCGAACGCTCCCAAAAATCCCTGGCATCCATTATCCGACTTGCTTCAGAGCCGATGGAGTACCTGAACATTGCCAACTGGTATGGTCTTGGATATTCATCTAACTGGATCAACTCCGCGAATTTCATCCAATCCGCTTTCCAGTTGTCCGACTATATGTTTTCTCTCTGTAGCGGGGTTGGCAATGAGATCATTGATTGCTCCTCAATGGCTAGCGGGGTTTGGCACCGCTGTACCTAAGCCTGTGTCCCCCAGCCGCGTCAAGAGAAAGAAAACACACTGGCTAGCACACAAGCACTCTATTCTCAACTCTGAGTTTCAGTCCAATTATCTGTGCTTTTAAAACTCACTCGATCGATCACCCGATCGAAGGCAATGTGACAGACACTTGGTCATGATAACCTGGGCTGTCTGTTTGTCCGGCGATTGCGAGCGTCAGGTAGGTAGGACGCTAGATAGGACCCTTTCTGAACCACCCACCCACGCCATGCAATTGTCATCAGCTTGTGTGGATGGCGCTTGATTAACTCTCCTTCCGGCTCCATCTCGTTTTTCTTCGCATAGTTAACTAGCAACTATGCTGTTTCCCTATCTTCATGAACACTTGCATGCTCTCCGCTAGCTGTTGTCGGAACCAGTTCACTTTTTGTTATCAGTATTTTCACTCCCCTTCCTTTTGGTTTTACCTAGCTAATTCCATGTTTTTCATCCGATTTATCGTCAATCTTTGTGGGGGATATTTGATTGGCTCTCCATGCAATGGCCCTGCGTCTTTTCTTTTTGCTCAATCTACCGTCGCGATCTGCGCAGTATTGGGTCTGTTATTCTTGATGTAGACAACGAATGCCGCTGTTTATGCAACCAAATGACAATAAGTATTGCTGCATAGTCTGTCCTTTATGTACAAGAGATTTGTTCGGCGCAAATCGTCCCATACGCGGCATTCACCCTACTATTGTACATCTTGTTGCGCCTCATTCATGAACGACGCCTTCGCTGTGCGGTCTTTGTTGATCGTCTGAAAGTTTTACGATTCAGGTGTGACTTCGATCTGTAGGTAAACGTCTAAGTCGATTTTCGTAAAACACGTAACACCGTTGAGTATTGTGAAGAGTTCAGCTGAGATCGATAGGGGTAGCAGTTCGGCTTCGGCGCAGTGTTGAGAACGGTGGAAAAATCAGCACAAACGTTAGGGGATCGATTCGCTTTCCTGATTACAACCGTCGGAGCTGCGCAGCCAGATTAGGACACGGGTACCAGGACACCCATGTCTTCCAATCGTTTGGGTTAGGGGTCAACCAACGGTAGGGACGGACAACGGACATTTGAGACGGAATACTTGTTGAGCTCCGGGTACGTGCGTGTACAGAAGCCAAAACCATTCTGGCATACTGAGGCGAAGTGTTTGGTGATCTCGTCGATTTGGTCAGCCGGTACTGTCGAAGACTGTCATCATCATCAACAGCACTGCATCACCCAGTTGAGCTGATGTTTCGCTACCATACGACCACAATGCTCTACGAAGATAGAATAATAAGGCGAGAGGCTACTTAAAACCTTAATGCTCTAAGTATAAAATCAAGGTCAAGGCGCCTACACCTTGTCAACAACACGCGTCACCAACAACTGGCTATCGTGTATAACTAAGGCGGCATCGGCGAGACAGCTTTCTTGCGGCTTTCACTGCCCCGCATCATACTCAGTCATTACCCCGCGGATAACTCAGCACCTAACACACTTTGGACAGACAGTCCAACTACGAGACGGCAGTAGACGCGCCACTGGTGCCGACTGCGAGCCATGTCCTGTAACGTCTCAAACCAAGCACACAGTGAGTCACGTGGACTCCAGCCTGGAAGGTAAGGCAGACCGACGGCACCGAGTTTGGTCGTCATCGACTTCATTTCCAGCTGCCAACTTAATTTTTGTATACCTCAGGCCTTGCGCCACCCTACATCTGGCAAATAAAACAAGGCCCTCTTCAGGTAAGCGGTGACCAAGCATACATAGTACGTGCCCAAGCCAACGCAACTTATTCAGTACTATCTGTTTTTCTGTACCGCGCTGCAAATGTTCTGAAGAGGTAGATCGACCAAGCCAAGGCCTTCGATATAGCCGTAGCCAAAGCAGATTGGGCTTCGCTTCCGTGATGTAGCAGAATCCGTCGGATATGACACCTAGAAAGGAGAGTGAGCGGTGTAGCTGCCTGGTTATCTGCACGTAACGAATTGGATGTTCGACTGGAGTGGTGCCTTTCCGAGGGATAACCAGAGTTCCTTGTAGTTGATTGTGACATAATGCAGCGTCCAACAGCTGTCCTACCGGATTGATTAGGATGTCGACGAACTTCTTGCGGTCGGTTGCTTTGACTTGGAATGTGGCCAGCAGGCTCGTTAAGTTACCAATAGGACCACATTTGGCCTTCCGTTGGGATCTCCTCCTCTTTGAACTGGGATGAGGTGCGGACCTAGTTTGGCCCCTTGGTTGACATAGGATTGCAATACCCACTACGGTTCATGAAACGACCAGAACGCTGTTGTTGAGCCACGCGTGCCAAACGATCCCGAATAGTTTAAAAC